AGTATAATTAAATTATAAACTTTTACAAGTGAAGACATCAGAAGAAACTAAAACTAAAAAAGTACCCCCCATATGTAAGGCTGCATATTAATATTTATTGAACACTGTTACTATTATACATATTATATTTTTTCGTGAACGGAGCATTTAATCTTCTTTCTCCTTTCCGAGGAATTTGTTCCCCCGTTTCTCCTAGAATTTATTGATTAAACACAAAAACAAGTAACAACATTACAGTCGCATAAGGCCGACCATTAAATGGCCTACGTCGACCCGTTCAATATAATTCTCCACTCATTTTCGTAATGCGCTACTACTTGTGCTTTATTTGCATTTAAAGACATCTTTTTTATGGTAACCCTTACGCGGGATGTGGTCTTATAAGCTGACGTAAGCGATCCAAATTTGTTGCATTTAATATTTTTGCCAAAAATTTCTATTATAGACTCATCGTATTAAAATATGAAAAACTAGATCTTTTTGTTATATAAATGCTCACAATTTTCATAAGGATTCTGCCATGATGCCATGCTCTAAACAATAAATCCATTTGCTCCAACTTTTGCATGATGAATTTCATGAAGATTCAGATTTCGCTAGAACGGTTACATGATAGGAGGTTAACAAAATTGCCCCGTCGGATCCAAATTTTTCACATCAATTTAAAAAACCGAAATGCGATTAATGAATGATTTTTGTGAAGAAGTTTTGAAAATCTGAATGCTTTTTCATAAAAAAGATCGTTATATGGGGGAATGGTCAAAAGAGTCGTGCGATCCAATCCATTTCCCAAGAAAATTCGTTTTTGGACGAAAATACGCCAGTGTATCGAATGTTATCAAAATGTCACAAAAATTTATGAATTTTAAGATGGACATAAGAATACATGTACAGATATCGGACGGACAGATGGACAGATGGACAGATAGATTTGGGTGAACTAAGTCCTTTTGGGTGCTACAGATATTCTCTCAAACTTAATATACCCTGTATCACAGATAGAGTAGAGTATAGAGTATACAATTAGTAAAAAGGAATTCGTTTGTTGGTCTCTTCTTAATAGCTTGATGTAAACGAACACATTATTGACACAACTAGATAGTCGCAAAAGATGCCAAACACTTTTAACACTTCGAGCATAACTACACATAGGAATTTGTTTGAATTTCTGATTGGAGTTAACGTAATAAACTATTTATTTATATTTATATTTAATAACATTAAATTATCTTAAATTTAAAAATTTTTTTTATGACAACCACTATTATCTTCGGTCGTCAAGGATGATATTTGAAGTAGAATAGATTAAATGCTTACCCCCTAACACTGGACTCATCACTGGACTTATCTACAAATTTCATTCTTGACGTCGATAAACATGATCGTTCAACCACAATACGTTACCTAACTTATATCATGATATATATGACGTGGTTTCGTATGATCAAACGCGTGTATGAGTGCCGGCGTATTTAAAGTTTTAAAACCTAAGTTCGATTTAATTCATTTTTATATTTTTTATATTCCCTAATGAAAACACATGCGCACACGCATATAAACAAAAATATAGCGACGAGCGAATACAGCAAAAGGTAAATAAACTTTTCAATCGATGTGTTAATAAATACATTTACATGTATAGGCATTTCTTTATATATATATATATATGACGTCGTTACACTTTAATGAGTAAATGACAAGCAACTTCAAACACTTATCGAATAATGCATTGTATACAAAATGTAAATAAATCAAATCCCCGCGGATGTAAGTCTGCGGTATATAGGGAAGTGAGCTAATAAGAAAATTTTTTCTTTTTTATTCCGCTTAAAATGAATTTTTTGTAATATCTATCACTATAACCTCTACGCATTTATCCACAGAGAGAGAGAGAGAGAGAGAGCGAAAATTCACTCCATCGTTACTATACTTATACCATAGATATAAGTATATCGAAAATGTTTTCTTATATATTTTTACATTGCTTGGCTGTATTTCGTAGGTTAATGTATTGAAGCTAAAAATTATAATGCTGGACTTGTTGTCGACCATCTAATTAATTTTTTAGCTCGACATAAAAAATTACTAAGGAAAAATTCAGGGATAATTAAGAATGGCTAAATTAAATTTCAAGCTTAAGTTTACGTTAAATTTAGGAAAATAAATATAGCAACATTTTTAATTCTCTCTTTACAAAATGAATGGATTGCTCGATTAAAGAAATGAACAAAGCAATGATCGAAGTAGAAAGCAAATGCAAAAATAAATTTAACATTTTATAATAGATAAAGTGTCAATGTGTCCGTGTGTTGCTTTGGGTTTCGCTATGCGAGGTAGAAATCTTCGAAAGATGCCACTGATCCGTGGCAACAGCATGCATGATTTGCCATCCATGGCGTCTACGTGATACAACTACCCTCTGTAAACACTTCATCTACTAGCCTCCGCGGGACCACAGTTAGGGGATTACTTCGCGGAGGCTAGTTGCATTTAATGCGCTTTCTATGATGGCATAAACTTCCTTTATGCTCTTCTCGCTCTCTTTTTAAGCGCGGTAATTTTTGAAGCACTCTGCCAGTTGTCACATGCAATATTTCACTGGGTTCTTCTTGAATTCTTGAATTCATTCCCAAAGCTTTGACAGTGTTCCAGGCAGTTTGACGAGTTGTCGTGTCCGTGAATCTGCATAGCTACTTTTGGAAATAGCCATGATCAGTTAGGAACAGGACGAGATTTATATAATTACCTCTCCGGGCGGCCTATCGGTCCATTACGTTGTGTTTGAGATAAGGAGGAACGTCTATCTTCCTTTTTTCGTTCTTTCCCATCGTGGTTCCCAAATCCTCGACAACAGTAGTCGCTCGTCTTTTTTCATGATTTTTTGGGAGCGGTCCTTGTTGCGACGACCAAAATATTTGTATATATTCGCCAAAATATCGATTGGTATGGAATCTGCGATAACAAGGCTGGCATCTTCCGACATCGTTCGGAATTCGCATACCCATCTTAGCGCCCTTGAGCGCTATATTACCACAAATGTTCGGTACACTGTTTCCACGGCAAGTACTTCCGCCCAAATTGAGCTCGCATACATCATTCCAATTTGTGGTGTTCGGTCCTCCAATATTTGGCATAATCCTCGCCAAAGACGGGTGGATGGCAGCAGCTTTTTCTGTCGCGTAATCCTCGTGACGCTTAAAGGTGAGACTATGGTCTAGCATGGCTCCCAAGTATTTGAGGGCAGGAGATAACTGCACGGGCTGTTGCCCGACTCGTATACCAGACGTTTCCACGCTTTCGGCTACTTATTAGCACCGCCTTTGTTTTATGCTCCGCTACATTTAGCTCAATCTCTTCTAGCCACGGCTTTACTTCGGCGACTGCCTCGTTAGCAGTCATATCTATCTATTCGAAGCACTTTGCGACTACTACAATTGCTATATCGTCGGCAAAGTCGATAATCATTGCACTGACAGGCAGACGTAGCTTCAGAACAAGAGAGGAACAAGGACTGATCCCCTTTTGTGACACCCGCCGTTATTTTATGCGACTCCTGCCCATTGTCGCTATTGTACACCAACATGCCATTCGAAGGGTAGTTTGTTATTATGTGAAGTATAGCCCTTGGAATGTGCTTATGACGGGCTTACGAACATTCCTCCAGTCTGTTGAATTAAAGCCGTTTTTTTCACGCCTAGTGTAGTCACGGCACAGTATTCTTTGTCGCCGGCGCAATTACATGTATTCTGACGTGTATCGTAGACGTTTTCGGTGGTCTTCGTAATTCGTCATCAGAGAGAGTGCATTTTTCATCAGGTACAAGCAGCAGACGTTCGTTTACGACCCTCTCTAACACTTTGACAATTGATTCCGACAGGCAAATAGACCGATATGCCGATAGCCTGGTGGTTTATTGCTCATCGGAATTATGATCAACTTCTGCACCTTCCATTTTATATATATATACTAAGATGGAGATTGTGCAGCCAGACAGACATGATTTAATCTATTCTGCTGCAGGCAAGGATCAAGAATGCATATAACGTGTAGAGTCACTACGATTTGCGAAAATTTTCTTCCGTTGCCGGAAATTTTGCAAACAAGTAGCATTTATCGACTTTAAGTAATTTTAAAACATTTTGATTATACAAACTGGTAATATGTGTCTGTGACTCCCAATTAATAAAAATAGTACGTAACTTTTAGATGCTCACTGAGGCAAATAGCACGTGTGTTTCTCTGCAAATTGAATACATATTAAGTGAAATGGTCTAAGGAGTAAATAAACGGCATGTCTTTTCGTAAAGATGATCCAATTTCGTCCGCTTATTTGCAGCTTATCTTACGATATTTGTTTTACTATTATGACATTTCAAGTGGTTAAGCGTTATCGTTTGCGGAAGGGAATTAATGGACTCTTTAGAAACAAATTAATAGTTAATACATCTTCTTCATGCACATTTGATAATTTTTTTCTTTTCATTTCGTCTATATTATCAATAATGAAAGACAAAAATATACTGGATTTTGCTGTTTTCGGCTTTCCATAGTTGGTGAGGCATCAAGCGAAAGTTATTGTGTAGAATGCGACAAATCAAAATTCAAAAACAAACGTTGCTGTGTTAGCTGTGAAAATGTATAATGAAAATGTGGCTCAAGTATCAGCTTAGCTGTGAAGAAACACAATTAATGTCACGACTGAGAAGAAACGGAATGACTTTCGGAACTACCTAATAGTGAAAGGGTTTTTTTTCTTCTAAATTCTTTAGATGATTTTGTAAAAAAATTGCATCGCAATGTTCGCTTCATCAGGCTCAGATACAGATGTTGTTTTCTTGTTTGCTAATTAAATCATATAAAACTTATTGAGGTTTACGCTTAACGTACCTTATTAGGTAAGTGCATTTTATGACATCTGTACAGGCTTTACCCATTGAATAATGAATTAATTTTATTCATTGATTTTTTTCAAGTACTTTTTGCTCACATTTTCTTTTCAGTTTTAATTTCTCTTAAAGAATGTCTCAGTCAGTGCGTTTCCACTATTGGTCTTTATTGCTATATACTGTGTGCGTGGCCTGCACTTCTCAAGAAGATTTGGTGGATTTCGATTTTTCTGACTTAAAAGAAATTGATTGGAATTATGATACGAACTCGGATATTAGCAATGATAGAAGTAAAAAACCTGCAAAGATAAATGAAAATTTAGTACGTTTCAATGAAGAAGACGATTTAGAATTAAACGAGAATCAAGTGAATCCATTCGACTGGCGTGAAAAGGTTCTAAGGAATGCTTTGTCGAAAGCGTTAACAAATAAATCTCTACGACAAAAATTTGTGGAAGTTATGCCCATACTAAGGGTACTAAATAAACAACAGCGGCTCGCCCTGTCAGCTTTAATATCGGCACAAATTAACGCTAAAAAAGGGCAGGAATTGAAATTGGAACAGGTTAGCGAAATAAATGTAAAAATGCGCTCTTCTTTCGACAGATATTTTCATGGATTTAAAATTAATTTTTCCCAGGTTCGTTTAATGTTTGGAGATGACAAAAATCTTTTAATACCCATTGTTTATGACATAGCGAATTTGGTGCGCAACTCTGCCAAGAAATATATAAAATTCAATTATGATGTAAAAGATTTAGCGGATTTTTCCAAATCAAAGACTTCGGCATACACTGCTAAACGTAATTTTAATTTACCGCCTGCGGAATCGATAGAAGAAGAAAGTAATATCGGCATTTTAACTTTTCCTTTAATTAAAGAAAACAACGATCACGAAAATGATTCCTTGGAAAGTTTCCTCGCCAATGGGTCGCAGGACGTCTTGGATCCGAAGAGTATAAACGAAGAATTGCAGACAGTGGATGACAGCAGTCCGCAAAACTTAACACAGGCTTATGAAGTTGTAACTATTGCTGTCGAAACGGCCGAGATAGCTGATCCGTTGGATATCAATTACGAGCTGCAAAGACATATAAATTCTTCTCGTACTCGGCGTTCATTAGAAAGCCGCGAATTTGTGCACAAATTAGCACGTTCCATGCCTATCGCGATCGGTGAAGAAGATTTCTTAAGATCATCTTATGGACGTTCTCTGAAATTGAATACAACTATATTTGCTCAACCAAAAGATAATAACCAGCTAACGTCGCCTTCTATCGAAAATGAAAAGTTCCACGAATCGCAAAAGAGAACAGACGAAGATTCCAAGCTTGACTTGGAAGCCTATCAAATCGTTGAAGATTTAGCTTTAGCCGATTTAAATGGTACTGAAGTCGAAGAGGAAGATGTCGACGAGACGGATGATTCTTTAGATAAAGGCACCGAAATTGAGGAAGTAGTAGATATCTCAAATAAAAATCCTGATGAAGTTCTGCCAAAACCAGAGGAGTTGATAGGTGGCCCCCGTTATCGTATACGTAAACCTATACCAGCAAAAATTGTTGTAGCCAAACGTAAACGTGTGCAAGTTCGCGCCAGACCGAAAGAAGAACCGGGCATTATTTTGGGGGCCGTACCACCTCCCAGAAATTGCGAACGCTTTACTGCTTCGATGTGTATAAAGACGGACGATTATCCCATGTAAGTCTACGCAGAAACTAGATGTCCATAGATGTTCTACTACTCGTTTAAAACTCATTCTTTTTAAGTTTTCCGAAAACAATCTCACGATATCTTTAAATCTCTTTGTTTATTCGGACATGATAGCCTGCTTTAAATTAAAGTTACTTAACACTGTAAAATTAAAAGACAATTCTCTTCCTATTATCACGCACCACATTTTAAAATTGGGAGATTTATTTGCGTACCAAATAGATGGAATTAATTTATAAATTTTTATCTGTAGTGATCAAATTATGGGTAGCATAAGACGTCATAGAAACGCGATGGTGGCGCTTCTGGCTGAATACAACGAAAAATGGAATAGTATCGATACAGGAGAAGATTTTGACGATTACACGTTTACAAAGAGAAGGTTTGATATTTTAAATGTTTTAGTTACCGATTCTGTAAATAAAATATAGTAACCGGACAAAGTATAAATTGATCTGCTTCTTTTATAGACGTGAAGATGAAAATACCCCTGGGGGTGGCATGTGTCAGAGTATTGTACGTTATGCTCGCCCCCAGAAAGCACGTTCAGCTTCCGGTGAATGGAAATATATAGTAAACACGGGTCAGCACACTCAAACCCTACGTCTGGAGAAATGCTCGTATGTTATTTATTATTTTAATGCATAAAGAAAACATCTTTGGGATTTACTTTACTTAATTGTAGGAGCCCACAGGAAAGTTGTTCTTATTTAAATCAAAATTATCGTTCTCACTGTGCACAAGTGTACAATTATCATCGCTTACTAAGTTGGGATAAGAATCGTGGTTTACATGTTGATATCTTCAAAGTGCCGACATGTTGTTCCTGTCAGGTTGATGGCTATCGTCAAAAATTCCCACCATTAGCCGGATTAAAGCAAGATTTTACCCAAACTTATAAGGGCGAATTATATCACGACGACCTCGACTATAACGGTGAGGATGATGATGAAGACGATGATTTTGGTTTTTCTTATCACAAGCATGACAGCACCTTTGACGCAAACGAATTGCTGTTGGGCAGCAATAAAGTGCGCAATAAAGTGCCTAGTCCTACTGTTGGCTCATATTTAAGTCCGCCCGTTAAAGCGCACTATGAACCAAAATATACTTTCGATTCACAACGTGATACCGCTTCCGTTATAGTAAAGCCATCCTTAGCGGCAACAACAAGCAAAAATAACTATTTGAGGGAATTTACTCGACGTCGGCCCCATAAGAGTTTTAATGAACCGCGCGCTGATCAGGAATATTCTCCTAGTGAACCACATCCAGAAAGAGAGGTAAACATATTTGGCACACCTATTGCCAAAGGTGACAGTACTCATCAAAAACGGAAACCTATTTATTCTGTGCCTTATATAGCAAGCAACAGCAGTCACAGCGGCAGTACCATCAGCACCAGTACCAGCCGTGATAGTTGGATCCCCAGTGTCAGCCCTACGGCCATCGCCGCCAGCACCGGAGCCATTCGTCCCTTCACCCCAACATCCTCGTTCACATCCTACAAATCCCGTATTGATCCCAATGCCTACCAAAAGCCATCAGCAATTAGCACCATCACTACCAGCACAAAGACCATCTCAGACAGATCCATTACTGCTGCATCGTTACCGCAGCAATACTACACGACCCGTTCAACAAATGTCCGAATATCTGACGGAGGTGTCTCCAAATCAAAAACACGTTTTCGTCTCTCATACACGATCGCGCCAACACTCACCACCAGTGAAGCGACCAACATTTCAGAAACAGCAGCAACAACAACAACAACAACAACAACAACAGCAACAAATGCGTCATCAGTCAAAACGACCGAATCGATTAAGACGACATCGCAGCGGCCGGACATTTATGCCTTAAATCCGGAACTTTTCAATAATCGTTACCGACTTAAGTACAATATTAGCTCCGTACAGACTTCGACAGCACCTCCTTCACCGAAACGTATTAATTATAGCTATCATCCCATTATAGATTATTTTGAACATAACCGACGCGTAACCGCTCAAAACGTAATTTCTACGCCCCATTCCTCCGTATCCAATTCAGGCAAAAGGACCGAAAATCCTATCCCCCATAACGATTCAACACGTTCCCAATATTATGCACACAATACTCCACGAGCTGTAACTGTCAATGCTTATAAACCTAAACATACAGAACGTAGAATTGGTTATGGTGCTGATAGTGATGGTAGAAATGTTGGTATATTAAATTATATTGATAATAGCGAAATATCGGCAACTTCTGTTAGTCCTAGTGCACGACAGGAAGTGACCGACGTTTGGCATCCGGTGGTAGTTCAAGAATTTTAGAGATTTTACTCATTCTCGTTTTCTCGTGCACACAAAAACTAATCCTTTCAACAAAAAATATCTTAATTTATTTATTATTTATTTGTTATTAGAAGTTTTTGAAATTTTCATAAAGAAATTTACGCAAGTAATTTAATATTTATTATTTATAAATGAAATATAAAATAAACTTGATTATTAACTTATTAATTATAATTTCTAGTTATCATATAAATATCGTATTTTTCTTCTTTTTTTTTTTTTAACGATGTGTAGAACACAATCTTCGTGTAAAGATATAAGCACTTGCAGACTTCGTGAACAGAAATAGAAAAATTGGCGAAAGCTATTGTTAACCGCGAATCAGTTAATTCGAAAGAATACGCTTTTAAAAATAAACTAATTGTGCTTTTCGTTGATTCCGTTGAGGACTTCATGTTTGGATATGCAATAGGAAAAGATAAGCTCTTCTAATCAGAAGGAAGAATGTTAAGAATAATTCGGAACAGTTAAAAATAAACCGCTGTCTTCATCCCTCTTTCTCTTTCTCTCTCTCTCTCTCTCTCTCTCTCTCTCTCTTCAAAAAGTTCACCCCAAGAAACACGCTGTAGTAGTCAAATACTCTGCATTTGCTATATTTGTTATTATTATTGTTATCACAAGAATAAATTCTAAGGCTAAAGTGTCAAGGCAAGAGCATTTAACGGTATCGGCTTTATTGAGAAACCCTACCGCACTTGAGAATTTGAATCCATGGCCATTGAGGAGGTGTTAGTCGAAACTCTTTGCCTATTCGGTCGCTCAGGTGGATCTCCTTTGCTATATATTATGGAATAACTTTAGTTCAATAAATGCAATATTTTTTAAATATTTCTTAGCATACTTTTAGATGCTTTTCTTTCAATAAAATTTAATCACTCGCATGTTGCAAGTAAATAAAAACTTTAATACCTATTGTTAACCAGTTTATACTTGATTAAGTGGCATATATGTACTAGACAAGAAAACAAGCTCAACTAGATAAAAAAAAATGAAGCACATTGAATAAATAATAAATATAAATCTTTGTGAATAAAATACTTAAGCATGTGAAAAGAGAAAGATATAAGAAAAGCGAAATTATTGATATGTGTATTAGTAGAATACATTCAAGTTTCAAGTTGAAGGTCAGGTAAGGAAAATAAATTTTTTACAGTTTGTAATTTTAGTTGATTGGAAGACGTTAAGCGAAACAACTCCCAACAATTTAAATGTTCAGGAAGTGATACTGTATCTCTAAAGCTATTTCTTTTCTTTTTTTTTCTTTTATCTCTTTTTCTGTACTACAATAGCAGCACGTTTTAATGAACGTGTTAAATTTTTCTTGCGCCACTAGATGCTAGACTGTGCTCTGGATCGAATTAAACATGCATATAACCCATGCTTCTGAGTAGGCTATCATATGGTCTTCCATTCTTCTCATTTCCAATGAGAATACGTAATGAACTTAGGCCATTTCAATTTGAAATATTAGTACCTATAAGCTTTGTGATATCAGAGGGTAGGGATTATTAATGTCAACCCTGGCCTAGTTCAGTTCATATTATAAAGGCGAAAACAAATTGAATAAAAAAAAAAAAAGAAAGCAAAAAACCATGTTCTTGTCCGTTGTATGTGACATTTTCGTCCGTTACATGTTCGCATGTGATTCCGGTCGTTTACCAAGCATCAAAATTTTCGATTTTGACTTTGACTTTTTTAAATGAAAATTCATGGCTGTTGTGCCTTACGGGTCAGGAAGTAAGTAATTGGAAAAACAAAAGCAAATCCTGAGTTAGTCCTTTCTCGCATTCAATAAACCTCAAACGTATAAGCAGGATGTGAATTTGACTTAGATTTAGATTCACATAAAATAAAGGGCGCACCATCTAACGGATAGGTAGAAACCATTTTACAAAATTTAAGTAGATATGGCGTTAAAGAAGTATTTATAATGCACATTGTAATCAGCACTCGTATCGCTCGTGTCACAGCTAAATTTCAAATTCATCTTGGAATAGTTGTTGTATTATTGACTACCTTCGAGATAAATCTTTCCGAAATGAAATAAAACCGAGTCATTTTAAGTTCAAGAATATGATATGAAAGAAATATATAAATTAACTGCCAGATATTTCGGTTTTCAGATGGTTTTCATTTAGACATTCTGCGCTTATTAAACTAACAAAATTTTTCAACTACAATAAGTCGGACATAATGCCTACAATTATTTGACAATTTTAATAATGTTTAACGTGTGTGGATATTTTGAAGAAAACGTGTTAGATAAAATATTTGCTGAATGAACCTTTGGAAGGATTACATATAAACTGTTATAATAAAAACATTAGTGTAAGATACTTAATTAATTTTCTAGTCTACTGGAGTTACTGGACTATTGTACCTATCACCGACGTTAGGGCACTCAAACATAGGCTAAAATATGAAATAAGGTAAGCGTCTGTCTGTTTTTACGCTACGATCATTTTGACGTCCATTGGTTCACGTTTATATATACGTGTCGCGTCAAGTGAAAAACATTAAAAGCCAGGGTTGTTGGTTGCGCGAAACTTTAACCCGCTTAAAACTGCCTCCTCCTCGTAGTCTTTATCCTGAGGTGTGGAAATTGAGCTGTACGTCTATAGTGGGCTTGCCGTTCAGATGCTATCTGTTAACCTATGTTGACACTTCTTTATCCTTTGTTTCTTTGATACGCTTACCGTTTTCCATTGTCTGTTTTCCATTTCCTCAGGTCGTGGCACATCTTCGTTATAAGATTGTCGTGGAGCCAATACTCTCCGGCAGTTCCTGTCGTCCGGCTTGCTACTTCGGACCGACATGGGACACATGTTCAATGTTATCGGTAAACATGTACAAACTGCAGAGTGTCCCTTGCTCTGCCTAAAACCAAACATACGTTTGCTTAGCACATATTTTCCATATTTTATTACAGAGATCCAATTTGAAATTATTTAGTGTATCCAGATACCGTCTCGCCCAATTTATTTTTACGAACGGCGTGCAAATGTGTTGCAATAGGTATCAAAATTCGAATAAAATACTTTTATCCTGAAATGATTTAACTGTCCTTAGTTAAGTTCACGATATGTATGTTATGTGTACTACCATTGAAGGAACAGTAAATAAGTTTGAAGTTAGATTGAATGATCTCAAGTATCGAAGTGCTCTTCGATTTATTACTAGTCTGTAACTAACTATTTATCCTATCGTATAAGATCTCTTTTATTTTTTAATAATAAAATGAATTAAATAATAAGTGTATAAAAAATAATTTAATTTATTAAATAACAGCTTATCGTTAGTATTATAACTTAAGACATTAACTTAAAACCTATAAAATCTATAATGCACTATCTGTCGGGCCTGAAGTCGTGTCATTTCGTAAGTATTCTTTTCTGGTGACCATATAGGGAAATTGATGATAAACGGCAAAATCGGAATTGTGCAAATTTCGCCTTGTTACTGGTACATTATATACGCTATCGGTAGGATTTGGAAGAAAATATTTCGGAAGTTTCACTTGATCATTAATCGAAGCACTAAAATATTTAGGCAAGTTAACGATTAAATTCTGTAAAGAGTTTATATATTGATTAAGATCCCGTAGATTAATTTGTTCCGGGTTAATGTCATGAGATAAGGGAGATACGTTGCCGTTATCTTGCGTCAAAGTAAAGGAAAGATTCTTTTCCAATTCGTTTAAATTGTTAGTTTGCAACATGTTACGTATAGTGGTCATGACGTCAGTGTAAATTAAAGACGGATTTATGGTGTCACCGGCTGTCGCTGTATCAACATCTGTCTCCCAGTAATCGGTTGCTACTTTCGGTTTTAAGAACGTGTTGCGATTTTTCAGTTCTCTTGCAGTTTTTTTCAAGTTTTTCGTCTTCAATTTTCGCATTTGGTTTTGCATACATTCCAGCTGTTGGTGAACTTGATTTAAGTCTTGAAATGTACATTTTTCAGGCATATCGGTAATATTGGCGCGAGTCTTTAAATGATTGATTAAAGCATTAGTCGCTTTAAGGGAATTTTCAAATATTTCTTGCATCATATACTTCGGAAGCGATTGGGTGTGAGTCGTGTATTTTTTAGGTTTAATTTTTGATGGAAATATTTCTCCTGTTAAAGTGGAACTTTCTTCCAGCGATTTATAAAAGTTTTCTTTATCATTCTCCTCCCCCGATTTGTAAGGATCTAAATAGGTTTCAGCGTTTTTCAGCAACTCGTTTATATGGCTCAATAAAATGTCCCCTTTTAAAGGTTGATAAAATACCAATCGTTGCGGCGAGTGTTCGCGACTGTTCTTCAAATCTCGTTTAATACGGTTAAATCTTTTACGATTTATATAATTTTCTCTAATACCTTGGACACGTTTCTCGTGACCCTTCTCATATTGGTCTTGCTCGTGGCCTTTCTCCCAAATAACTGTATGAATTTGTTTCGAACTTAGACGTTGCTTAACCTTCGGCAACACTGGCTTATTCTTTCTAATTAATCTTTCCGTCTTACGTACTGAAGTTAAAATTTCAACAGGCAGCTCTTTGGTCTCTTGGGTATACAAGTCGAAATCGTTCAGTTTCTTTTTAACCCTAGTTTTTCCTGGACTTCCATAGATATATGAGCTCATGTTATTTTCAACAATGCGACTATTTATGGGCCGCATTAACGGTCGAACTTGACCACGTTTCGGTCGCTGCGCTAATGATGACGGTTCCCGATTCGGTGCAGAGTTTCGTTGTTGATATTTGTATTGCATATATTTCTTCAACTCTTGGAAGTGCTTGGGCGGGTCTATGATATGGATAACATCATCGGCGTCTTGATGTATATAAGACGCGGGTGTGCTTGATACTTGTAACGGTAAACGATTTTTACGCCCCTGTGTTCTTCCTTGAACTTTCGGTTTGCGGAACTCTTCTACATCTACATCGTCGCCGTCATAATCATTTTCGTGTACGGTTATTGCCTGACTTAAGGACAACATGCAAAACGTCCATATAATTAAAAATTGCAATTTTATTAACATATTTTTTGTGTTTTTTTTCTTTTTTTTTTGGTTTTCGTTTAAACTACACTATTATAGACGACGCACATTACTGTTATTATTGTAATTATTAATGTTAGTAAACCGTTGTTAGCTGTTGCACTGCCCGTACACAACTGCCAACCATATTAGTTAAACTCCAGACTTTATAAATATCAAAATGGACAATAAAGAGAGAAAAAAAAAAAAAAAAAAGAAAAAAAAAAGTAAAGAAAAATTACGTCCTCAACATAAATATTTTTTCCACTACGTAGATTTTCCACTTTTCCAACTCATTTATTACACTATATTGAATCGCATTGAATCTGTGTTCGTAACAGCATCAGCAGTGTTACCTCAAACAATATGGACTGAACGAAAGTGAAAACAACGCGTCTGACAATCAAAACCTTATCTATCCATCGTTCGTATCCTCAATGTCGTTTACATTTATGTTTACATTGCTCTGAATTTCTTTCGCTGCATGCTTGCTGCATGCAGCCACCTAGCCACCTAGCCACCTAGCCACCTAGCATTACCTGGCATTTTTGATTTCAATATTTTTTCAATGTCCAGATTAATGTAATGTAAGTTTCCAATGTTGCTGTGGAATAAAGGGGAAATGTTTGTTTGCTATTTGACTTTCTTGTTTTCATTTCAATTTTTTTGTTTCATTTGTTTTTTTCTTTTTTTTTTTTTTGTGTTTGCTTTCGATTATTATATATACTCTGTTCCGTTGTAATTGGCTTGTGTTAGTGTCGGTCAGTGTTAGAGTCGGTTTCATTTTTAATTTTACACATTTTGTTTTACTCTAAATATTTTAGATATTAATGGATTTAACGATTAGTTGCATGTTGTGCTTAGTGATGTGTGTCTTCTTCATAGCGGCCAGGAAGACATGAAACTTGTTAATTACTTTTACCACGAGTCAGAAAAAAAAATAAAATAAAAATAATAATATAATCAAAACAAAACAAGATTAACCTGTTGCTTTTTTCATGTTCAGGGGGCGTGTGTTTAAAAAAGTTTATCAACTTTTGTTTTTCAATTACATTTCAGTTGGATGCTTTGTTTTTGCAATTGTAAAATAAATAATAAATAATATTATATTTTATATAAACTAGACCTTCTTATCTCTCTCTCTCTCTTTCTTTCTTTCTCTCGCTCTCTCTCTCTCTCTCTCTCTCTCTCGCCATTCATACCCATTATACAGAGTTTAATAGCCAATATTTAGACTCCGTCCTCGATAGTTCAATATGCGTTCTTAATAAACATATAACGCCTATAGCCGAGTTTTTTATCGCCTGCATTCAGTTCAATAACCGAAGTTCGAAAAACGTTTTAGCTCAATAACCTACATATCGATTAAAAAATTTGATGTGCATGAACAACGGTGGTAACCCGATCTGACATTCTAGCTATGTAAATATGAAATCAAAATTTGCCCGCAATAAGAAACAGAATTGTCTAGCAATAAGAAACAGTCCGAATACCAGGCAACACATACGTACATAACGCAAAAAAACTTTCCCTAATAAAGGAAATATCGAGTTTTATGCACAAATGAAGCGAATTCGTTGCCAGTATTTTTTTCTTCAGTGTCCACAAGAAAATCGTTTTTGGATTGCCTTCTAACCGCAGGTGAAAGATGAATTTATTTTTATAATTTAACGCGTAAAAAGCAGCTTTATCCGCTAAAATCACAGATAGCTTCTTTTTTTTTTTTTTTAAATGAATTTAACTAATTCTGAATTAAGGATAATCGAAATGATGTTAGTGACTCTTCCTTGGATATTCCATGTCCATGCTTGTTTATAAATAGCATTTAAATGTAATTATTTTTATTGTTCTCTTAACTAACTAATATGAACTTGACCTCCACTTGCGAAGAGTGTCTGGTTTTCCAAAAGGTAAAAAAAAAAGAATATAATAGTTTTCGCCATTGAACAATTTAATAAATATTTATGTATGAAAGTTATTCACGTTTGTTTACAGTATATTGTAATAATTATTAAATAATAATTAGGTAATAATTTAAATTATAGCTTTATTAGCGGATAGTTATTATTATTTGAGATAAAATGTAAATAACAATAATGGAAAAAAGACAAGAAAAGTACAGTAGAGCCTGATTTTTATAAAATTTATTTTTTTTCTCTTTTAAATTTTGAATGCGTGCTTCTGCATAAAATATGTATTATAATATAATATTTCGAAAATCTCATGCGAAACATTAGCTATTATGTTGGCAATTATTCAGCGTTAACTTCAACACAACAAATAAGCTTCAAGTTTAATGATCTTAACGTTTTTTCTATTTGCTTACCTGTAACATTGTAGCATAACTCTCCTGACTATGACTATTTGAAATCAATCAAGCATTCTTCACGCAATCATATAAACAATAGTCTAAAAATGTAATGCCACGCCTTGCTAGAAAAGGTAGGCCATTATCAGTCTTACCTTGAATGAAACGCACTTAAGAACTTTTTCTATGTATTGTTCGCAAATTAATTTTGCATTTGAGAAAATTGACAACAATTTTGGTATTGTTTTATAAAGTTTTAAAAAATTTTGTATAAAAACTGACTGCATTGTTCGTTACAGTGTCAGTTGTATTTGTCCAGTAGCAGAATTTTAACATTATTGCAAAACATTGAATAACAATTGAAAGTTTGCTTGAATTTTCTTTTCTCGGCTTTTTATTTTGCCTCAGAATTTTTTTTTTAAAACTGTTACAAAAGCTAAACGAAATGTCAAAGTTTTTCCATTCGCTTGGTTTAAATATTATTTATCTTGTGCTGTTAATATGCGGCTTGCGTTCAGTAACAGCAGTCCCTGCAGGACAAAGTGCTTTAACAGCTGAAGCCGAAGATCTCGAAACGGGAGCTACTGCGGAATTGGAAAAGGACGAAGATTTGGAAAGCTCCTCTTCATTCGGCTACGGTTACTACTCCTATCCTTATTATAGATCTTATGGTTATCCTTACTCTCCTTCCTATTATGGTGGCTACTACGGTTTAGGTAAGTAATAGTCCATTAATTGTGTTTATTGCTTCTTTCTTTAATCAATGCCACCTGCATTACCGGATAGCAACGGATTGCGATAGATATATAGTAAGACAGTAAGATTCGTTTAATGCGCATTTCTGATTTATTGGTCATTACAGTCCATTATCTAGTAAGATGTGCTTGGGATGATCACTATGGCATAATCTATTATCGTTATTGAGTTAATTCTTATTATCTGACTGAGGTTGTATTTTTGAAAGTGAAAAATCTTTATTGAACAAATCCGAAAGGTGGATTGGTTCGGAATAAATTCTGGGGGGATACTTATCATTTTACATGAATGATCTAAGCTTTTAAGTGTTTCCAACAAGTAGTTATGTGAAAGTTTAAATCGATATCCGCTCTACTCACCTGATTACAGATTTAGGGCTTTTGCATGAATATTTTTGGGCATTCCAAGGCATTTTTTATTGGATGAAAATATTATCTTGGCTAATTAGCCTAGCAATGAATGACGATAGTAGATACGAGGATTTACGTATCATTTATAAAGCCTTGCAGAAATGATTTTGAACACCATGGTTCCAGCTTCGTTTTGGAATATTCGTTGAGGACTCGTCCCCTTCATAAAGCTGCTTATTTGCAAGATGATCTTTTGCTTGATTGGATATTGTGTTGCACATTGTCAAAATTTTAATTTGAAGACATTCAATTCTTTGGATATCATCTAAAAATGCCAAATTACCAAAGAGGCTGCAGACGCATCAATATTTCGTTTGCTTTTATTGTGTGCGCATGCGCTGCGTCTCGTTCACATCAATGTTATTAAAATTTTCACTTTTCGCAACTTAGCGCAAAGTTGGTTCCGCCATAAGTAGACTTTCCATAAGCCATGTGTGTGTGTGTGTGTGTGTGTGCGCAACATTAAATGAGAGATTGAGAACGTGGCGTGAATGTGGCGACATAACCCCCAATAGTCGTGCGCGCGATAAGATAATCTTATCATAAACATGTCAAACACAGCTTTATTAATCACACATATATCTATATATATTTTCTATTTTATTAATGTAAAGTTTTTCACAGGTTATCCCTACTATGGCGGTGGCTATTATCCGGGTCATTATCATGGCCTCTACGGGCATTACTTTTAATTACTTTTAATTTGAATTTAAACGCATGCTTATGTAAGCACAATAATCATGTAAGATTTTCTATTCTTTATAAATATTTCATTAAAAACATTTATTTATACATATAAAATACATTCTACATATTATGCTTACCAGGCACGAATAAAATACTATTTTTAATTATTATTTTAAAAATTTTTTTTTTTTTTTTTTTTGACTTTTATATTATTTATTGATTAAATAAACAAATAATTATTTATGTAACAAAAAGAAAGTGAATACTGTGTCATTGTGTTGTTGTAATAAACTGAAATTGAAATCAAAAAATAATTAAGATTATCTTGTGGCGCGAATTTTTTTTTAAATTTATAAAAAAATTTTTGCTCATATACTTTATAGATCACAGATTTAGATATAAGATCAGTATTTGCCAAAACATTGGTAGACTATCGAGCGAAAAATTTTGAAAATTAATTTTTTTATTTTTTTTGTTTTTAATTAACTATGTTTTCTTTAAAATTGGATTAGAGGTATTTTTAAGCATTAGCTCTTGATGGTAATTGGGTGCGCGCTTGCAGAAAACGTTCAATGAAATTGCATTTTGAAATAGTTCGGTAATAAACGGCTTAGGTTTCGGTTTAAGTTTCGATCAGCATTTGCTCGCGTTACAAATGGAATAACAGAATTAGTACATCTGACCGGCACTGCACCCATTAGCATAAAGATTATGCAAATACCCAATGATTACAAAAAAAAAAAAAAAAGAAAGAAATGCAAATTATTAAAATTACGTCATTATAAAAAGCAGTGAAATTGCATCAGCATAAAAAATGGTTTGTTGAGGAACATACATACACCCAGAAACTATGATAAAATTGAGAACAAAGTTAACTTAATATCAGTTTACGAATTCATATGAATTCTTTGTATTCATTCGTCCTTAGCCTCGATCTCGCAGTCTCGTACCTATTTTAAAAGTATCTGAAGACAACTATCTGACAAAAGCGGAAGATAGATTCGTGGATTAATTCTTTCCATCCTTCGTATACATATTTGTATTTTGCTTTTTCGTCAGCTCTCAAATACGTAAATAGTTGCTATAATGTAGCATAACCAAGCCATAAGCTACATAAGCGCACTTATATACCTTGAAAGCGCATTTATATGTTCCGAGTCAAATTTAGTGCAACGCCATGAAATTGTAGTTAGACTCATCAACGAATCTAACCGCAAAATGCAAAGCGAGAGAGAGAGAGAAACAGAGAGAGAGGAAGAGAGAAAAAGAGAGAGAGAAAGAGAGAAAGAGAGAGAGAAAGGGTTAGAAAGAGAAAGAGAGCGGGTAAGTTTCAGGCAATCTAATCCATAGCAGCAGTAAAGTGCAGGCAAGGCACTAATCGAATAATTCACTGATCGGTAAAGTAAAGCGACAATGAAATGCATTGGTTTTTATATGTGAAAATATGTAAAAAGTAGTTCTCAAAATTCCAAATTTTCTTTTTTAAAGTTTTTTAATTAGACTAGCCCGCTCTCTTTCTAAAAAACTTTAACACTCATATTCAGTTCGTACAAAGTTTTTTTTCTCATGTTATTACAATGTATGAGTAGTTGACAAGGTAAGAATCGTGACTACCGGTGTTCGCGGATTCGCGGATTGAAATCCTAGATGTGGTAGAGGTTAATTTGGTTGCAGCTGTACTGAGTGCTAAGCCGGTAAAGACCTATCACCTATCGATCGGACACACACGTACTAGGCCGCGACCACCACTTTTCTATATCTTTCTCTTTCGTCGAATACGAATAAGTAACATCTCCTAAGTGTAACAAAAAAAAAGAATCTTGAAATCAATGCGATTGTGGTTAGATTCCAGATTTTGATTGGCTGACTACTCTACAGGTAAACTTGTTTCAGTTACAAACGTTATTAAGTACGATTACCTTATGCAAGCAAAGTTCGTCCGAAGAACTGGCCAAACAATTGTTCTATGTTAGATGTGTGACAATAAGTACTGAAATGTCTTTATCTCTTCTAAGAAAGGTTTACTGTTAAATCGTTTCGTCGTTTTTTTCTATTATGCCAAGCTTACGCTTACTACTTCTTATACAAATCTTAAATGAACTGATTTAAGAACTGATCTTACCTGTTATAAAATTGTTATTATGTGAAATTATTATTCTTGTAAATGTTACTTAGTGTGCCTACAGAACTATGCCCAGAATATCGGTCATCAATTTTCGTTAAGCACAACTCATCTGTAAAAAAGCAACTTGTCCGTCGATATGCGTGCTTTCCGAAATTATCAGAAAGATCAGACCAAATTTCGCCCACCTCTAGGGCAGGTTCAACGTTTTGCAGCTTTTACATTCATGAAAAGTCTACCCATTTATGTCCATATATGTCCATCTGTCTGTTCGGTGACGTAATTGTGAAAAGTTCACATTTTTTATATAGAAGTAAAAATTTACGGTCAAACCTGTCCATTCATCTTCATCAGATTACAAGTGATTCATTTTTTGTGTCTTCAGAACTTTGAAGCTAATCTACCATTTTTCGTCCATACGAGTAAAATTAAATTTTTATGCTCAATAATATGGATTGGGTGAGGCTGAAAAGTTATTTTTGCATAAGCGCGTGAGCATTGTAGGCGTGTCATTTGAAAAGTTTACGTCACCTCCAAATTCTTTTGCAGATCTGTAGGCGCGATCTTAATTTTTGCGAATGGGACAATGTTACCACAGGCACTGCGAAGTTGGGCAGACCGACAGATGGACACAACGAACAGACGGACATTACAAATTTGAAATTGCTCAAGAATTTATACACTTTTGTTTTGAAGCTTGTTTCTGTGTCTATAATATTGGGCAAAGTTGGTCAATTTTCCCTATTTTGGTGCAGGTAGCGTCATCCATAGAACATGTATTCAACTTTCTGTACATTCATCTGCTATAGTTTATGAGAAATGAGCAAAATAACAATTTCCCGTTCCCTTTGCAAAAGGAAGGTGTTCTCAGTTAACGTGGTGCTGCTGCTGCGAGTAAGAACTTCCAATGTGTTTGCTTGATAGCTTCACTTTTGCGGCCAGGAGAATGTTTACAACAGAGATTACCCAAACAGAGTGACGGACATGCGTAAATCGTTCCATAATTTGATGCTTATTAACAATATATATACTTTATGGGTTCTCTGACGCTACTAACAACAATTCATGCGATAGAGCAGGGCCCTGTAGGCTATATGCCGATATCCATTTTTGGCATGACACTGTTCGACCACTTACTGCAAATTTTACCAAGGACACGGTACCAGCAGTGATGCGAAGTGTACGATCAATCATATGATTCGTGATGTTTTTTCAATCAGTGACTTATAGCTCGCCTGAACAACGATTCAAGAGATGGATCTTTCCTTGCTCACGATCAGAGATCAATATAATTTTGGTACGGAAATTATGTATTGGCAGGCATCTGAAACGTTTATGGACGACAGTAAAGCATTTAACTAAAATATCTTCTACAAAATTTGTCCCCTGTAAAGGTTTAATTCTATCAAAAATTTGTTTAAAATAAAATCGAAACTTTCCTGAATGATCTGTGATCTATGGCAAAAATCAGGTTCTATTCTAGCTTCAATTTTATGTCCAAACAACAATTAAGTCCTTAAGAAGAAAGCTCAAGTCCATTTGCAATATATGGGCATTCAGCAGATCGTATTTGTTTGGTTGGTTCAAAACAGGAGGGATTAAGAGCGTCCGTGTTAGCCAAGTATAAGCTTGCCTTTATACAAAACGAATCTTACTTACGGTTTATTGTGTACCAAAGTGTCGGTAAATTGACTTTCAAAATAACGACTAATATGCGGTCTATTAAATGCTTTCTTGCAGTTTCACGTAAGCACAGAATTGGAGCTTCCAGAAGCATGAAGAAGCTTTTTCCAATCAAGAATATGTAGAGAATGTTTTGCGGGTAATCAAGTAATTACTTCGTACTTGATTGTATATACAATATGAAGACATTAAAATATGAAAAATTGCCGATATATTGATTTCAATGTAACTAACTGTTGACACTAATTGTCAAACATATTATCGCTTATCGAAGCATCTAAAAAAAAAAAAACAATCTTCATTTTTAACACACACACAAAAAAAAAAGCGATTAAATTGTTGACTACGCTTCAAGTTGCGGAATTAATTTATTGATATATTAATTTGGGGAAAAAGAAATCCATTATTTTTATATGAACTTCAGGACTTTATTTAACATGCTTCGGATTGTCCGATTTGGGTCAAATATGCACCCTTTTGTTGTATGATTTGTTGCCATTTTAAAGGTAACTTCAAAATGCCTCTCCCGTAGAAGTCCTGGTCTCTATTTTCTAGTAGTCGATTTTCACAATCCTCCCTAGATTCCAATTTTTTATCATTAAAGGAATTTTGTAATGCAAGAAAAAGATGATAATCGCTTGGTGCCAAGTCCGGACTGTATGGCGGATGCATTAAAACTTCCCAACCAAGCTCCCGAAGTTTCTGGCGAGTCACTGTAGATGTGTGTGGCCTAGCGTTGTCCTGGTGGAACACGACACCTTTCCTGTTGGCCAATTCTGGCCGTTTCTGGTCAATCGCTATCTTCAAACGGTCCAGTTGTTGACAGTAGAGATCAGAATTTAGCGTTTGGCCATATGGAAGCAACTCACAATAAATAATCCCCTTCCAGTCCCACCAAATGCATAGCAAAACCTTCCTGGCCGTTTGAGGTGCTTCACCGCTCCTTGACCATGATCGTTTTCACACAGGGTTATCGTATGTGATCCATTTCTCATCTCCAGTCATCATCCGTTTAAGAAATGCGTCTATCTCATTCCGTTTGGCCAAGGCTTCGCAGATGGAAATTCGATCCGTCATGTTTTTTTCTGTTAATTGGTGTGGCACCCAAACATCGAGCTTCTTTTTGAGTCCAGCTTTGTGTAAATGGTTTAAAACTGTTTTATGGTCGATTTTTAGCTCCTGGGCGATGTTACGACTGCTAACATTCCGGTCAACTTCAATCATTTCTCCGATTTTATCGACATTTTCGGCGACCG